GCCAGACACCCCCTGGCCCTGGTCATGGCAAACCATGCGTATGGAGCGATTGGAAACGTGTTCAGTAGTTTTCGCTTTTTTTCTGGGAGGGGAAGAGACCCTGACACCGCTGGCACCATGGAAGCAACAAATCTTTTTGCTTGAGGTTTGTGCGGTCAGTTAACCAGTCATTGGTTGGGAGGCAGCTGTGGGCTATCTGCCACTGCAGGGAGGTAATTTTCATGGGCTTTTGTTTTTGCTCTTTGAACCATTGGATCGGTGACAGGAGTCCAGTCTACATTCAGGTGTCTGACCAATCTATTGTTAATCATATCTCTCAGACACTGTTTATGTCTGAGCATTTTATAAGTTGATTTGACCAAAAGCTGATGTAGACTAATGTGACTTATCTTGGGGGCTCCCCTCTTTTGGGGGGGCTGCCAAACCCATTCCACCGGGTCCAGGTCGAAATCCTGGATGGGTTAGTCTGGTTGGAATGCCATCCTCTGTCCCTTTTCTTCAATTACTCTCACTCGGTACACTGATGCTCTATCTGTACATTCTAAGGGTGCTCTGCTCCCTTGGAGGGTGCCCATTTGGTGACGCCGTAAGATTCGACCAAAACTGTTTGTGGTGAAACTATGTGTATTAAACCGATCCTCAGTGGGGTCTCTGTGCTTGCCACCCAGTCTCCTTCTCTCAAGGTGGGACTATGTTTGAGGATGTGGTACTATTCCAGTGGAACGACTTCAATAAGGTTTTCTAGAAGATCCCCCATGCGATGGCAGTATCTCAAGATCTCTTGTAGCTGGTCCCCGGTTTTCCAGTCATGCCTTTCATTGTCCCAGAGATCTCATACCCTGAGTATACCGTGTTTAACCCAACTCTTCCAGGAACGTGATGAGCTCGTCATTACGCAGCCTCTTGTGTCTGTCACCCATCTATTTCTGAAGAGGGGTTGACGATTGACCTCTTCCCAGCAGTTGGGGTGGATTTTATCCGGGAGCGGGAGTTTGCGCCAAGTTTGCCATGATGCTATGTCAAAAGACTAAGGGCAAAGTTGAGATATTTAAACAGTTAAGGGCGGCTAGGGTAGCCTACTCACGTGCCCAAAAAAGAAAAAAATTGTTGTGCCCTGTGTTTGTGTATACTTCATGGCTGAGCTAGACATGTTCCATAAGTTTGGGTGGTCTAGCTTTACGCCCTATGTAAGTTGGGTATAAGGGGATAAATCATTGAAAGACTATGAACTATTRTCTGCTAAGTTGACTTGGGGATGGTGAGAGTACTTACCTTTGTGGTTTGGCCTGCATGTGACTGAGTGATGCCACTACTTAGGCTGGGTCTCAGTTTGATAGATAGTTGCTTTAGTTGCTCGCCACGTGCTAGAGCCATAAGAGTTAGTTTCAATTCCTGCATTTTCTGAGCTAAGATTTTTTTTACTTAGATCAATTTTTACATTTTCTGGAATCTTTTATTTATACTTGGTCTTGTATAAATCTTGGTAAGCCACTTTCTCTACGGGAAACGCTACCAAAATTTCTACAAAAACCAAGGAGTCAGTCAAACTTTGTCTTTTTCAGGATTTGACTTTTTCTGACTTTCTGGCTTAGTAAAAATCTAGAACAACTCGTTTTCTAAAGGGAATGCTGCCCAAATTTTTGCTAATTCAGGAAGTTAGACAAAATTAGACCCTCAAAACTCAAAGTCATTTTAGAGTCTGAGCTTAGCTTTGTATAAATCTTGGAATAACACTTTCTCTACGGGAAGCGTTGCCAAAATTTCTACAAATCTAAGAAGTTCGTTAAATTAAATCTTAGTTGAATTCAAATTTTATGTTTGAGTTCGTATCTTACCTAATATAAATGTGGAAAATCTTATTTTCTAAAGGGAGTGTTGTCCAAATTTTTACTAGTTCAGGGAGTTAGACAAAATTTGACTTTGGGAAGTCAGGGACTATTTATATTTTTATATTCGGGCTGATATAAATTTTGAAAAGACAGTTTTCTTATGAGAAGCGCTGCCAAAATTTCTTTAATTCAAAGGAGCTAGATTATATTTCAACAGGTGCCGATTCCGACGATCCACCTTGGATAAAGAGGATGATGCCAAAGGTATGCCTTTTTTTTGGGCACATGCGCAGAGATAGACCTAAGCTTGGTTATCAGGAGGATTTATGTAAGAACGTGATATGGAGATTATTCCTTGTGCGCTTATAAGCTTAGCTTGGACATTGACTTGTTTCACGTTACAGGTCCTTCTTTGAACGATTCAATTCAGGATTTTGGACTAGATTTAACTTTGATCCCACGAGGATCACCTTTTGTTATCACTAATAACAGGTCGGTTGCTGATTCGTCGGTTTACGATTCAACTTCAATTCACTCCTGCCACTCAACCTAAAGGTTTTAACCTTGTGATTTGAATTGTTTTGTTGTGTTTTCACCCGGACTTTATCTGAATGGTTATTTAAAGAAAAATACTGAGTATCTTATTTTGGGGAGTTGCACAAAGAGCGAGGCTTGTATGGCTAAAAGCAAGGGGTGTGAGTGCAGAGAATGGAAGTTGACTCTGTGTAGTGCGTGAACTTTTGTTGGATCTTTGATGTGATTGCAGGTATGTTTGTGGTTTGGACTTTGGATATGGCTGCCTGTGATTACATACATATTGCTGAGAGGAGTTTCACTGTGACTGTGAGAAGTGATCATCCTATATCAATGACCCATATTTATGTAAATATATATATATATATATATATATATATATTGTCACAGAACTATTGACTAAGAGCATGAACACGTGAAGTAGAAGAAGAAATAAGATGAGCAAAGAAAATAAAAATGAAAGGACAGACAGGCAAAGAGACAGACAAACCAGAATGACACTTTGTTTCACAGTATTATTATTTCTTTCAGTGTTTTACAAAAAATATTTACACTGAATCAAAGGATAAAAATCAGAAACAAAGACACATTGAAATCATTCAGTTTCTCAGTCTTCTTAACGCCTCCTCCACTGTGCCTCTAACGTACAAGGCTCGCCACGTTGATGAAGTTGAGCATGACCTGCCCCCATCCCCGTATGCCATAACAGCCCACTTGCACGCTATGGGAAAGAGGCAGGGTGAAGGAAGAGGTGTCAAACACAAGGGCGAGAGGAGCAGAAAAGGAAAATCGATAGGCAGAGGGAGAAAAAAATAAAAATAAAATAAGGGTGACACAAACATCTTCTTTTTTTTACTGCATTCTTCTTTCTTTCACAGTTTTGCAGTTTTTGTGAAGAGTCTACCACGTCCATTTTTCAGCGCACCTGCACTTCTTCATTTTTTATTCTCATTTTCACCCTTCGGACTTTTTCTTTGAGGGTGTTAGGGTGCAGGGTATAGACAAAGTAAAACGACACAAACTTATGTTCTTCTTTTACTGCAGTCTTCATTGTTTTGCAGTTTTAGTGAAGGGTTTCCCACCTTTGCACATTCTTGTACACTCTTTTCAGCGCACCTGCACATTTTTGTCAGGGTGCAAGGTACGTCTAAGTAAGACCCTCACGACAGATAGGACAACTATCATAAGGATGCGGGCGATGGTAGCAGCCCTCCCGCTGATCTATAGGACGAAAACCATTCAGGTAAGCAACTTCGTCACAGCAGGAACCTGGACGGCTAGCATCGACCATACCTCTGAAGCATGCACGGTAGAGGGCATGCCGGTTGCAGGCCATGACCATTGTGGGGCGTTCACCATCACAGTTAAGTGCACATTCGCTATAGCGCCCGTAGGCACAGATGAGACATATTGCATCTGGATGCTGCATCTGGATGCAGAGGATGTTCACAATCCGGATACAAGTGGCATCCCTGCCGACAGCGGGCCCGAAAAATTATATCGTTGTAGTGATGTCGACAAAGTCGATGCTTTCCACAACCAAGTGTAACTGTGTCAATGATCTCACAAAGAAGGAGGTCACAAGGTGTTAGTGCAGCATGCAGGGGAATGAAGACTAAAGCAGGCACGGTGACAGACATGGAGGTTGGCACGGAGACAGACACAGAAACGGGCATGGAGACAGACACAGAAACGGGCATGGAGACGGACACAGAAACGGGCATGGAGACAGGTGCGGAGGCAGGCACAGAGACAGGTGCAGAGGCGGTGACTGAAGTACACGAGGTACCTATAGGGTCAGTAATCTGGAAGGAGACAGACATAGAAACAGGCACAGAGACAGGTACGGAGGCAGGCACAGAGATAGGCGTAGAGGCGGGCATGGAAGTACACGAGGTACCCATAGGGTCAATGACCTGGAGCAGTTGCATGTTAGGGTAATTACGCACAAGATCACAGATGGCAGTAATTGTTTGCACCATAGCACCGCCATTCCATAACTCCCAAGAACCAGAGGCACGGACAAGAGCGGTGTAGTGGTCAGGAGTATGTAGAATATAGGCACAAACATGCGAACAGTGGTCCGGGTCGCCACCCGAAGGGGCACGCTGCATATCAAGTCGGCGCCTTATCAAAGCAGTCTCCAAAACAGAGACATTGAATCCCCCATGTCGAGTGTAATTACTATCCTGTGGGGGATGCAGAGCCGGGTTATCGCCATATAACTCACGTTCCTGAGCATCAAGATCGGAAGCAATGGCCAAAAAATCAGAGTGAGTATATGGTTCCCGACGATAGGCTTGTAGGCAGATGTTAGTAGCAGCGAGGCCACACAGATTCGGTGGAGGCCGGTCAGGTGGATTTTCTACAGAATTTCCTACAGTTTCCTTGCCAAGTTCATCCGAAGATGGTCTCTCGCCGTCATCCCTCCCGTTTTGTGTTTGCCGCATTGCAGAAAGGTCTGCAGTCGAAGAGCGTTGTAAGGATGCTTGGGGCGGCAAAAGACGAGGACGGGATGTTGGGGAGGGCCGTGGTGGGGAGAATGAATAGGTTCTTCTTCGTCCAAGAATAGAGATGGAAGAAAGGGGAGTAAGCTGAGGTTGGGAAGTAGGTCGAAGTCGGCGTCTAGGACGACGAAGTAGGCTTTCTGCAGGGGCAGAACACGATGACGGAGTCTGTGTGGACGAAGTGGTTTGTGGATTAGGAAGAGGGGTAATGGATGGAGACAAAACCAGGGGAGGTAGGAGTGGTGAAGACAGGGGTGGTAGAGTAGTCGGAAGGTGGGTAACAGATGACGATAAAACCAAGGGAAATAAAGGCGTTGAAGACGGGGGGGATGAAGTCAGGGGTGGTGAAGTGGCTGAAGCAGAGATAGGGGGGACAGTCGTAGGTGAGACCCGAAGAGGGGACTCTGCAGGTGGTAATGCAGGCATGGCCACGGATGCCATGGAGGAACGCACCGAGACCAAGGGCGACACAACAGATGTGGTGGTCACGGATGCCATGGAGGAACACACCGAGACCAAGGGCGACACAACGACTGCGGTGGCCACGGATGCCATGGAGGAACACACCGAGGCCAAGGGCGACGCAGCAGGTGCGGGTCGAGTTGCTCCCGCGGAATCAATCGTAGAAGCAACCAAGGCCGATGAGGAAGAGGCTGCGAACTGAAAAGGGGCAGCCAGGGTCACAAACGACATGGAAGGGGTTACTAAGACTGATGAGGACGCAGGTGTGGCAGACACTGTGATAGGTGTGACAGGCGCCGATAATGAAGAAGGGGTTGTGACAGGCGTAGTCCGAGGACAGTGTGTAGATAACCGACAAAGCGGGCGATGGATAGACCATCGAAGCATGCTGCGGAACCAGCTGGAGAGGCGGGTGACATGCGCAGGGTACCTGTGTTGACGTTAACGAATATAGGAAGTCCATCCTTTCGCAAGCGTTGTTGGAGAGTGCCCGCGAAAAAGCATGCGGTATGTGAGCATTGCTGCTGCAGTTTTGAAATCATACCAGTTGTTGCAGACATACTCAAACCTAGTAAGTTGGCTTGTAAACACTCCCGCCGGCTGGTGTGCAGGGACGTTAGATGTAGCACTAGGATAACGAATAACAGGGAAATTTCATTCAGCTGCTTTGTCAAAGACACTCATACGCAGGGAGCCGTCAGGGCGGACTTGGAGGCGTGCACCCAAGAATGTGCAAGAGCCATCAGGCGCTGTGGTCTCCTTCCATTCGAGGCCATAGTGCTCTGACGGTGGTGGCAGATGTCCCCATGAGAGAACATCATCGATCAAGCGGTATGTGAACGCATACCGTTGAGCTGTGCGAAGATCACGCTGCTGGAGGTCATCAACAAATCGAGCCTCATCCCAATACAACGTCAAATTAGCTATCTCCGGACCAGAATTAGTCCCCATCGGGATGCCAATCAACTGATGTCGCAAGGTGCCGTCCGCTGCATAAAGATAGGTGTTTGTGACAATGAAATGGAGATGTTCAAGAATTTGGGAAACGGTCAAGGTGTTTGGTCCGGTATCAAACGTCCACTCCCCTTGACGGGGCCCTTTAACAATCATGTTAAGGGTAGGAGGATGTGTGCACCCCTGTGTGTGGTGTTGTAAGGCATATGTATAGGCTTCCTCGACCGCTTTTGAAACATTATGACAAATACGGTCATGAGGAAGATTGGTATACATAGTTGGGAAATCAACAGTGCGAGGAGCATGGTCACGAAGAGAAGAGGAGTTACGTTTGAGATCAAGCATCACCTCCTCAACGCTTTGCACGATCCAGCACCGTCTCACACCGCTTTGCTGATACAACACATTATCCTTCTCACGGAGAGTTTCATTGACTCCTTGTAGTGCAACGCTGAGGCGGGCAGAAGTGACGGTAGTACTGGCCAAGGGTTTGTGGGGAGGTCGATGGTGGACTGCATGAACAAATGGCGCAGTTGATTGAGATCGTTGCAGCAGGGAAAGATTATTCCGCTTTGTGATGCCGACAATACTGCGAAGCCCAGGGGGCGATTTGTGCGCTTTAAGTGCATAGTACAGATATGGCAGCGTGTCTTTGTGTCATCTTGGCCTGCGTCTTGGGGATCAAACATTTGGGCGATTTGTCCCTCTGTATCATGACATTCCCCTAGGATCAAACTATGGATCTCTTCACTGTTGGGGACGCACAATTTGTCCACTACGTTAGTCTTCTCAAATAGTAATCCGTTGGTAGTGCAGTAATCGGGTTCAACCTCCTGGGTTTCCTTGACCCTCTTGAGAAGGTCGCTATAGATAGGGTCCTGCGCATACGCGTCTCTAACCTTTTGCTGCAGGTCTCTTTCTATATCCAGATAGTGAACTATTGCCCCGAAGTAGTCGGCTCTCCTACTAAGAGCATCCGCAACTCTGTTATACTTCCCTTTGATTGGCTTGAGCTCGAAATCATACCGGTCTAACTTTGCGGCCCACCTAGTCAACTTAGGTGTCATCTTGGCCTGCGTCTTCAACCACCTTAACGTCTCATGGTTTGAGTAGACTTTAAAGTGCCTCCCAAGCAAGTAGTGCTTCCAGTGTTCTAAAGCTTGCCTGAGAGCGTAGAGTTCCCCTCAAAGGTAGATGTCGCTACCTTTTCTGAAGGCATCCGAGTAGACATGAACTCTACGGGCCTATATCCATGGCCATCGTCTTGTTGTAACACATCACCTATACCATATTGGCTCGCGTCGGTAGTGACGACAAAAGGTTAGGACGGATCGACTACTTTAAGGACCGGATACTGTATCAACGCCTGCTTTAATTTCTTCATGGCAGGTGTACAGTCCTTGTCCCACTTCCAGATCGTTTCTTTCTTCAGGTACCGGATACTCTATCAACGCCTGCTTTAATTTCTTCATGGCAGATGTACAGTCCTTGTCCCACTTCCAGATCGTTTCTTTCTTCAACAACCTCCGAAGGGGTGCAGCGATGGTGGAGAAGTTTCTCACGAACTTCCTATAATAGTTGGCTAGGCCTAGGAACGATCGCAATTCTATCAACGTGCGGGGTGTAGGCAAATCTCTAATCGCTGCGATCTTGCTGTCTTCGGGTTTGATGTCGTCTCCATCTAAGACATGGCCTAGATACAATACTTGGGTCTTCGCCCACTCGCACTTCTTCGCATTGATCTAGAAGTTAGCTTCTCTTAGCTTCTCCAATACCTGCCTCAGATGACCCTGATGCTCTTGGAGGGTCTTACTAAATACTCGAATATCGTCTAGGTAAATTATTACAAAACCTATCTGACCACGGCCTGAACAAGTTGTTCATACAACGCTGAAAAGTCGATGGCGCATTGGTTAGTCCAAAGGGCATCACTATAAACTCATAATGCCCGTATCTAGTACGGAAAGTTGTCTTGTACTGATCATCAGGGTGGACCTCTATCTGATGATATCCGGATTTCAAATCTGTTTCGAGAAATATCTGCACCCCTGCACCCGATCTAAGAGATCGTCTATCCTGGGCAGTGGCTCAGCATTCTTCACGGTGATTGCGTCCAGACCCCTATAGTCTATGCACATCCTAAGCTCTCCCTCCTTCTTGGGGACAAATAGAACAGGTGCTCCAAAGGGAGAGGAACTGGGTCTAATCCAACCCTTCTCTAGGAGCTCGTCTAACTGCTTGCGCAACTCCTCCAACTCCCGCGGGGACATCCTATACACTGCTCCCTTGGGAGTTCTATTGCCAGACTTTATCTCAATGCGATGTTGGATAGGCCGCGGTACTACTCCTGTTGGCGGCTTCGCTAAGTTTGTGAACTCTTCCAGCAGCTTGGCAATAGCAGGGTCTATAGGCTTCTCCTCTTTAGGCTCAATCACTGGCCTAACATAGGCTACGAAAACCTGTTCCTCTAGCTGCTCCTTCTTTACTAACCTTGCGAACGCAGGAGCGATGAGACAACAGTGTGCCAAGGAGTTGTCTACTCCGGACACATGAAACGGACGAGCAGTTTTGATTCCGCCTGATGGACTAGGGAGCCTACACTCGTGCTCTCTCAAATGGAGTGTGGCCCCTTCTGCCTCTCCCCAGTCCATCCCTAGGACTATGTCAAAAGTAAGGATATCTTCTACGAGGAGAGTCAGCGAATGAAGAACTTTCTCCACCTTCCCATCTTTCTCTAGGCGGAAGTACGCCTGGACTTCCTCTACATAATCCTCTACTTGCATCGTGCGATTATCTGCCAGGATACTTACTACGGGGTCTGCTAGCTTTTGGACTTTTAATCCCAACTTCAACTTCTGCAGCGCCTTCCTTGGCCCCACTATCTACGAGGGCCCCTACTCTACCTCTAAAAATATCTACATCTACCAAGACTAGCTGTCCTCTACTCTCCTTCTTCATCTTGGCCCAGGCGGGCATTCTCTGCTTCAACTCATCGGCCACGCCTGTGAGGGAAGTGCCTAGAGAGATTCTGACACAAGCAGTCTCTGGATAGCTATTTAGGCACCGGCCTGCAACCTCTGCCATAGGCACATGTGGTGTGGGAGTTTCCTGCCGGCTCGCGCTTGTTTCCCCACATGGCGTTATGGTAGGGGCAGTTGCTACCCCTACCAGCGGCTGCCTTTTGACCCCTGAGCAGCCGATCGGACCTCCCTATACTTTGGACAAAATTTAATAATGTGGCTAGGGTCACTGCAATAGATGCACTGCCCCTGGTCCACACGTTGTTGCCATACGCGTTGGTCCAGACCCAAGTCTTCCCAGGGCCTGCCCTGAGGCAGCCCTGGGTGCCATCCTCCTCTCCTATAGGGTGATCTATTTCCCCTATTGGGTGACCGATTCCCTGAGCGGTTTTGCGGGGGACCTTGGCCCCTGCCTCCCTCTTGGCGGTTGCCTTTGCCCCCAATCCTCTGAACACCCTCGGTACAACCACCTGAGGCCCGACCCCCTTGGCCCTGGCCTCTACCTCCTCCTTGCGGCCTCCCTCCAACCGCGACAACAGCGTAAGTCCTCCCCTAGCTCACACCACTGTCCTCCTCCTCTAGCCCCCGCTCAATCTGTTCGTAAGGGACTTCGTCGACACTACCCTCATCTAGCGTAAGGATCAAACTTGGTCTTAACCTGTCCTGAGATAGTGCGACCCTTCCACTTTTTCCCCTTGTCCAGGTCCTTGTGCCAGAAAGTGGAAACTGACATGGACCTCGCTTCAAATGCCACCACTTCCCTGCTCAGTGCGTCATAGGTCATGGTGGGCTGTTGGCTCTTCTCAAAGAAGTGCCCGCGCAACTGTTCGGGCATAGCCCGGTAGAAGAGGTTGACCAACTGGGTCTTTGTGACCCCATGGTCTGGAACAGCTACCAACTCATCCATCACACCTTTGAGTGCCTTGGCACTCTTCCACTGACGAGAATGGATAGTCTGCAACCTATCGGAGGCTTTGACGTTGCGCGAAACGCCTGCAAATCGCTCGCGCACTAACTTTAGAAAGTCAACGAGGGGGGTGAAGGCAGAATAAGCAACTACATCATCATTACAATTAGCGGCACGGACCAAGGAACGGGCAAAACTGGCGGCTTCCTCCTTCAGAGCGTGGATGGCTATTAAGATCTTTCAGTAAGTGTACGTACGTTTTGATGTTCGTTTCCCAATTCTTCCCGCTATAGGAATCGGGAAATTTGACTTTGACAGGCTCCCTACGGGGACGCGCTTCTTCCTCTTTTGGAGCGGTCAGTCTGGCGCCCTCTATGGCGTTTGTGCAATATCGCTCTGTGCCTTCTAGGCGGGCCCTCACTTCAGAGCCCACCTGTGTCGCCAATTCCCGTGCAAAGTCCCGAAACCTCCACTCCATACTTTTCTCATCTTCCAAAACCTGCCGCTTGAGTGGATCTTCTTCAGCATCCCACTCTTTCACGGCCGCCTCCTGTTCCTCCCTGGACACATATATCAAGACCTCCTCATCTTCTCCTAGGGATAATCCAACAACCCACTCTGTAATCTTCTTCTCCATTAAATCTTCTTTTGTGCCACTGGACTCACCTCTTCCTCCTGCCCTTCGCCTTTCCAGTGGTTGTTCTTCCTCCTCTTCCTCCTCTTCTACCGCCTTGAGCTTCGCTGCTTCTCTCTTTAGTCTCTCCTTCTCTCTGGCCATCTCTTCCTCAATCTTCCTCATCTTCGTCGCCTCTTCCTCCATCAGGGCCTTCTTCTTGGGCTCCTTCTTCTCTCTTCTCTCCTTCAGGAGGGCGGCGGCTTTCGCCTCCTCTTCGGCGGTGTAGGGGGAGGTGCTCCGGCCACTACGCGTGTCAACCATGGAGAAAAGTGCACAACCAAGTGACAGTTCCACTCCTCACCACTTAGACTCTCCCCGTAACTGACAAGACCTATTGACTCGATTTATGGACCACAGGGTTCGTAGAGAGCCCTATCAACTATGATCTCTAGCCCAGACTCCAATACTACATCCGTCACTACAGAACATGTTGCTGACCAGGAGATCCCCCCGTAACTCCTCAGGAAGTCTTTAACGTCGCAGACAGGACGACGCGGTCAGCAGTTTCTCTCAAGACTTAGACGGCCCGTTGTGCAGCCCACAGCTTGGATTTCAGGCCTACCGTGCCACACCGAGCAGCCCGCCGGTCAGTACCGGTCCTTGGGAGGGTTCGTGTCCTCCGGGACAGTCGAGTCGTCAGACATAGTCTTTAGCCCTACTCAGCCCGACAGGGGTTTGGTCAACGAGGCCCTATCCGTCATACACGGAGTCCTATCACCTGGACAGAAGAGACTCAATGCAGAAAGAAAAGACAGACAAAATTAGACTCAGCAAGTACCATAGGGTGAGTGCACATCCATAGGGCGAGGGGATAGGCTAAGGGCTTGGCAAGATTATACCAACTCCAGCTTGGTCAAAGTCGTGGTCAGCAGCTCCGGTCAACGCCTTGGTCATCGCTCTGGTCAACACCCGGGCAACACCTTGGTCAACGCTCTGGTCAACGCTCTGGTCAACGCCTGGTCAACCCTCTGGTCAACGTCCGGTCGACCCTCTGGTGTCTTCCGCTTCGTGTCCCTCCTTCCTCCTTCCCCGGCTATGTCTTCTCTTCCGCGTCCCGAGCTCCGCGGCTATGGCCGCTACTCTGTCTTGGACCGCACAACCAATCTTGGATCACTCAACTCTCTCTCTCTCCTCGATGATATCTTCAGCGCAGGTGTGTGATAAACCAATCTTGTATCGCTCAGTTCTCTCTCTCTCTCTCTCTCTCTCTCTCTCTCTCTCTCTCTCTCTCTCTCTCTCTCTCTCTCTCTCTCTCTC